CGCATATGTTTCTGCGGCGCTCCCGCTGAGAGCCGTGCGCCACAGCGCCAGGGCTCAAGCTATTTTTGGCAAAGGTATTGGCCCAGTGCCAGCGCGGCCGCCGCCTGGCTACTTCGTGCTGCTTGGTGGAAACACAGCCTCCTTGGGTGAGGCTGGGGAGCCCGGCACCTGCTCCGGCCAAGGTGGAAGCTTCTGGACTTTCGCGCACAGTTTTCTCTCCCGAAGAGCTAAATAACAACAACAACAACAATAGTAGCGACAATCGGCCGAACGAAATGCAGAAGGAAGGGTACGCGTCTTTCACATTTCAAGCCGGAGTGGATATTTCTGCTTGGACTGTGTCGGAGGAGGCGGCCTCCGAGTTGACGTCCGGCCCTGCCACGCTTCGGTTCCAACGTTCTGTTTTGGCGCAGGACGCAGTTTTGTTCCACGTCAATGAGATGACACACAGGAGGTCGACTCTCTGTTCTCCGATTGGAGCTTCCATGTCAACGCACGTGGTTTTCACAAGGGCGGGACCATGGCCCCAATGTTCGTGTCCCTCCAACACTGACGAGGCGTTGAAGCTCTGGCCCTGACGTGGTGGCGTCTGGAGGTGGGGCCTCTGGAAGGTGATGAGGTCAGATGGGGTCGTGGGGGTGGGGTCCTCATGATGGGATTAGTGCCCTCACCACAAGAGGAAGAGAGGCCAGGGGGCCCCCTCCCCGCAGAGCGAGCGGTGGCTGTCTGCAAGTGAGGAAGAGGAATCTTCTGGCATCGTGACATCGGACATCTCAGCAAGAAATTAATCTTCTTCTCAGTAAGAAATAGATCTCTGTGGGACTCTGCTCCAGCAGCCCGAGCTGACTGAGCCAGGTGCTGCCAGGGTCAGCGCGAGGGCGAGGCACTTCGGGTGCGCGGTGTAAAGAAGCACTCACCGTCAGTCCGGGGCGTGCGGATGGAGGCTTGGCCCTGACGCAGCCCTGAGACCGGTAGGGGCCCCCAACACTCTGCACCCGAGTGCCTCACGTGTCTCGCCCCAGTGCCAGCCCTGGGGAGTGTGTCATTCTCCCATAAAACTAAGGGCTAACAGAGGAGAAAAATGACCTCAGCCAACGGGTCCAGCCTCTGCCATTTGGGGTTTACCGCTCTTCCAACTCCCCGAGTGATTCTGGTAGAGTGAGTGTGGATGGGTCTTTATTACCTTGTCCACCAGGGGGCTAGACACCTGATCAGGTCCGGCCAATCAGCGCATGCCACCCTTGGATGCAGGGATTGCGCAGGGATGGACATGTGATCTAGAAGACCCAATCGAACTCTTCCCTGGGATAAATAGATGAACACACTGAGATACGCAGCTGCCCCAAATCAAGTGGGACCCAATAAACAAGACAAAAAACCAACAGGCTGTGTCACTGGGAAGTATGAAAGGTAGTTCTGGATTCGGGGAGGGTTGTATCTCTCTAGCTCTGTCTCCAGGCCCACATTCTCCTTCCTCAGCTTTGTTCTCAGCCTGGCTCTCGTTTTGGACACAAGGTGGCCCAGGGCAGCTGCATATCTCAGTGTTTCTATCTATTTATCCCAGGGAAGAGTTTGATTGGGTCTTCTAGATCACGTGTCCATCCCTGTGCAATCCCTGCGTCCAAGGGTGGCAGGCGCTGATTGGCCGGACCTGATCAGGTGTCTAGCCCCCTGGTGGACAAGGTAATAAAGACCCATCCACACTCACTCCACCAGAATCACTCGGGGAGCTGGAAGAGTAGTAAACCCCAAATGGCAGAGGCTGGACCCGTTGGCTGAGGTCATTTTCTCCTCTGTTAGCCCTTAGTTTTATGGGAGGATGACACAGAACATTTTGGAATTTTCTCAGGCGACCTGGGCCTTGCAGGCATGTCTGGATACAGTTTAGTGGAGAGGCTTGAGACTTTGAATCCCAGTTCCACGGTGCCTTCGACAGGACTCCTTTGGTCCAATGGACAGAACACTTCAGTCTGAGCTGGTTTAAGCAAAAGAGGAATTTTTTTTTGGCATGTGCCATTCCGTAGTCTCAGAAGGACACTGGGGAGGTAGACAGTCCTCAGTGACCCGCTCAGTGACCATTCTGTGTTGTCCTTTCAGAGACACGGCCATGCCAGAATGGGGACTGCCGTCCCCCTTCGCCCTTGAAGACGGGCGTGGCCACAGGACAAAATGGTAGTGGACCTCAAGAGGAAGGGCGGTCTGAAGCCACTGGGTGCCGTTGTCACCTGGACGCCGCTTGCTCTCTGCGCTCCGCTCCCTCTCCCCGTCCCGCGGAGCGGCAGTGACTGGACCCGCCAGCTTCAGGCTGAGCTGGCTCTCTCCCCGGGACAGTCTGCCTGCTGGGTTGTTTCGTGAGGGAGAAGTAAGCTCATGTCCCACTGAAGTCGTTGCACTTTGGGGTCCAGTGGTTATATGAGCCTCACATGTGCTTCCATAACACAATAGGTCCGTGGGGTGCAGAGTAAGGGGGTTCCAACGGTGTCTTCAGGCTGTAGGTCGCTTCTCTTTATCTCCTGTCCCTGCTGCTCTGCTGTGGCCTCCACTGTCGCAGCTCCTGGGGCCCAGGGGAACTGCGTCTCAGCCATGCCCGGAGTGAATTGTTGCTCGAGAAATCAGCAAAGGTAATGTAGTGAAGTCTTCCTCACACAGGGTAGGTCGTGTGTCTGGACCAGATGGTACGTCGGGTGGGAGGGAGGCGACATGCTAGGCTGCACCGCTGTCCTGGGAGCGAGGGTAACAGTGCAAGTGGTGACCGCTGCTGAAGGGTGGGGGGTGCATCTGGGTGTTGAGAAAGTTCTAAGTTGTGAAGATTAAACAGAGATGGAAGTAAGGATTTTTGTGCTGTCTCATGGTTCCGTTGTGACTGCGTGTCTGGTGGGCAGTGCGTAGTTGCGGAGTTGTGTGCTGTGCAGCTCTGTGAATGATTCCTCTCCCCTCCTGCCCCGGCGTGTCCTGCACGCGTTTTGGGAAAGCGTCAGCGGCCGTCCACCCCGTGCATTGCACAGCACAGTCTATGCATTTTGCACGCCTATCGGTTTGACCTCCCCCCAAAACAAATTAATCCACATACTGAATTCAGTTTTGCAATTGCAAAAGTCTCTTGTCCCTTCGTATCTAGTTTGATTCCAATTTCCTCGCTCCTAGCTTAATTATTTATGGATGTTGATTAAACTCAACATGAACTACCAAGGGCCAGATTTCACAGTCTCAGGGTTTGCCAGGAATTATCTGCGTCACCCCGCACCCTGCGCCTCAGGCTCCTCACGCCAAGCCCCCCTCCCTGCGAGTGTCTGTGACACTGGGGGTCTAGTCCTCGAGTGATGGGTGCACAGCGGCCTCCCACAGACACGTCTGCTTCATGGCAACCATGGACGGTATTTTTTTTTTAAGTTCAAAGCCTTCAAAAAGAATTCTCTAAATGATTTTTTCTCCTCATTCCATCCTCTCTGGGTGAGAGATTTAAACTTAAAACGTCATGTCCATCGAACGCCAACCCCGATGGCTGAGCTGCTGGTGTACGATGCAGCCAGAAGAGTGTCCCCGACAGGGTACCTGCTTTCTGCTCGTCCTGATTTAGTCTCGATTCTCCCGTGACACGTTCTTGGGTCTTTCTCTTCTTCAACTGATACCCATGAAACCCAAGGTGACTAACCCGCGTGCGTGTTCCCGGTGAGAAAAGAGTCCCTCTTAGAGTGGAAAGGCCGGGCCAGGGTCAGCAGGGCAAACAGTCCACTAAATAAAGGAATTTTCATCTTCGTAGCTCCGACCAAAGGTCAGCCAGCCTTGGTTGGCCACCTCCGGGTAACACGAATTGTCATATATTTCGGATGCTGTGTTTGCTTTCGTGGCCAGCGCCGTGATTGGAAAGCGCTTCCTCCGAAACCAGCCAGTAACCTTCCTCCCCTGTGCCACCACCTGCTTTTCCGAAGGGGTACGGGACCCTGTTTCCTCCTTTCAGTCCCAGCCCCGTGGGGCTGGGGGAGGTCTCTTCCTTCTTCTGAGTTTCAGTGTCTGTAAAATACGGATGATGGTATGTATCTATCTCATTATTCCTCTAACAGAATTGGCACCGGGTCCAGCCCCCTGGTGCCCCATAGACGTTACCGGTTATCACCAACCCAGGGAAGGGAGTCCAGTCGGGTGAGTGCGAAGTCTGGTCCCCCTTTAATTTATTCTGCAGACCGTGCCCCATAATGGTTATGAGGATGCGCTCTGTTGCCAGGCTCTGGGGGCATAAATATGGACACGGTATTTACACCTGGGGGAGACCTACCTCAAAAGGTATGGGAGGGTGTGAAGGTGCCTGGGTCTAAGGGTTTATGGAGCACCTGCTCTGGGCCGGGCTTTGGGGGCACACGTGAAACCCAGGCTTAGTGCCTGGAAACTTATGTTCTGGTGGGAAAGATAGGTTCAGACAATGAAAATGTGGCAAACGGTGTCACCGAGGACGGGGTGCAGAATGCAAGGAAACCCGAGGGAACATGCAGCATAAGCCAAGGCAGTATCCCTGCCCTCATATGCCAAGGTCAAGGCAAACCATGGCATGGCCACCTCCCCAGATAAACCCACCACAGACATAAAAATCAACCGTTCTCAGGGAAGAGACGGGGCTGAAGGCAGAGGTGGGGTCGGCGGCGGCTGGGGAAAAAGTGAAATTTCCCCTCCTTCTAAAATAAGCCACCAGCGCTAGCAGAGAGGGAGCCTTCCACGGGCGGGCTGTCTGGGAGGTGCAGGGGCGCCGGGGACGCACGCTGGAGGTCCAACCACTTGGGGAAGTGGGCCGGGCCAGGTGGGTGGGGGACCCTGGGAGAGCACGTTCGAGTGGGTCGGCCGGTGGGTGGCCACTCCCAGTGCGAGGACCTGCAGGGCTCCTCCTCTTCGACCCCCCTCCCTCCTTCCTCCTCCTCCTCCTCCTGGGCCTGGGAGGAGGCAGGGCCGGATCCCTGGGCAGCCGCCGCTCCTCCTCCTGGCAGGCTGGCTGATGAGTCAGCTGACGCCGGCGCTGCTGCCTCGCCTGGGCGCTGCGCTCTCTCTGCGCTCCCCCAAAGTGGCTGCACGCCGCCCACTTCCAGGGTTGGGGGGACAGGCGAAGTGATGTGCGCCTTCTAAAGCCTCGCAGAGCCGCAGCGGAAGCAGCTACACCTCTTCAACTTTCTCCCCGCCCCCACGCCTTCTCCTGACCCTGCCCTCCACCCTCCCCAAAGCCCCTTAGGGTGCGTGCGCTCGGGCGAGGGGGTCACCGGCTGCCCGGGATGGCTTCCAATTTTAATGACATAGTGAAGCAAGGGTACGTGAGGATCCGGAGCAGACGCCTGGGGGTGAGTACGAATCCTCTTTCTCTCCGTTCGGCGGTTCAATTGTCTTCCTCCTGAGCCAGCATCTCCGGAGGGAGGAGGAGGAGGAAGATCTCGGGCCGCGCGCTGGTGAATGGCAACGGCGAGGTGGCTCTCGCCGCCGCCGGAATCCACACCTCCCGGGGCTGCCCCTGGAAGGCCAGGTCTAGGTATGTCACGGGTCTATCTTTATCTCTCGGATGACTTGGCTTTCTGGCGGTGGCCGCGTGTTTGGCTCCAGGAGCCGCCGGAGCCCATCTACTCGAAATAAATATTTCTCGGTAGCCATGGGAGTTGGGGCTGAGAACCCCGGCGGGCGCGGAGCCCTGCCGGATGCCCCCGGTGCCCGTCTTCCCGCTCGCCGCCAACTTAACTTTTCCAGGGGACGGGTCAGCTGGCCGAGAAAGAGGGCAGACGCCCTCGGTGTGAACAAGGTCAGGGACCCTCTGCCCCCGCTGGGAGGTTTCTGCCCCCTGAGAGGTCTCTCCGGACTCCAGGTCCTGGGCAGTGACCCGCCTCTGCCCCAGGTACTGGGAGAGGCGGCGTGGGTAGCCCCTGGCGAGGCCAGCCGGGGGTAGATGCTCCAATCTCAGTCCCCCCCACCCACCCCGGGCTTAGTCTGGGCGGTGGATCTCTGCTGCTGGAATACACACTGGAACCCACTGAGAGATTGTTTAGGGAGGGACAGTGTCCCTGGCACGGGCGAGCGGTTCCCTAAATACGTGCTAAAGGGAAGAATGAATGAATCGGAGGGTATCGGGAGGGGACAGGTGATGGCACAGGGGTGGCTTCTGTCAAAACTCCCCCCTTTCCCCCTTTCGTCGTCACCGATGGCATTTCAGACAGCTCCCACTCTGCTGTTCTGCGGGCTTGAGGGACGGGGAAGGGATTCTTGAGGGAGGGGGAGGGTCCTGGAATGATTTCTTAAAAAACACACACAAAAAAGGCAAACTACCTCATTTCTCTTAGCGTTGTGTCAAGTGGTGTTGCTGTCTTTGTTTACTGCATGCGTGCGGCCGGAGGTGGGGGAGGAAAGTTACTTTAGTCATGTCTGAAATGACCATGAACGTCAGTGGTGATGTGGAGTAGCCCCACCGCGGGGGGGGAGGGGGGCAGGAGCGGGAGGGGGGGATGGTACTGTCTTTCTCTACGGATCTGTCCTGGCACCTTTGTCTCATCTGGTCTTCAGACTTTCTTTGTGTGCCAGGTAATTGTACTGAAAACTGAACAGAAATTTTTACCGAGGTAAACAGCTAAGGAGCAACACCTGGTGACGGGAAACATCTGTAATTATTAAAAACTCCTGCCTGGTTTGAGTTGGTCCGTGCCCTCCTTCTTTTTCTTTTCTTTTTTTTTTCTTTTCTTTTCCTTTCTTTTCTTCTTTCTTTCTTTCTCCTGCTGGTTACCATATTTTAGCAACTATGTTCTCTGTTAGTGTGACTATATAATTACATAATTAGGAAGAATGTAGCAGAACTAATCCATCCCTATCAGCCCTGTCTGAGTTCCCTTGATTTCAGGTTTTGCTTTGCAAATGTTCTTATCACCAGGATCGACTGTGGTTGGGGGGCTGAACTGCAAGACTGTCATGCAGAGGACAAGAATTAATAGGACCTTTATTTTTGATAATCTTGTGGGCAAGCCAGAGTGTTACAATAGTAAAGGCAGCATTGAAAAAAAAAAACACAACACCATTCTAATTTTAGACTTACTCCATCATGTCAATTGAGGAAATTGTGAAGAGGCATCCATTCTATGTTAGGGAGCATTCCAATAGCTAGAGGACATGCATTATTAATGTACAAAATGTGAATTATTCATGAGGATTGGAGTTTATGCCAAATTGTGACACATGGTGATGTATTTGAAAGACTAGTTACCATAACTTTCTAGCTTATGGTAATTGAGATTATTTTTCCATACTACTACAGCTGACACAATGTAGTCCTCCGTGTGTGCCCATGTTTATGGACAGATCTTTGAGGCAGAAGGAAAGGAGAGATAGTTTGCATGCATTTTATATTTTACTGTGGTCTGGACGCCAGCGAGCAGCACCCTTTCCCAGGATTTGTTCATTGTGTCTGTGTTCACACTCAGACCGACTCCGGAATATCTGCTGGGTGACGGTCACTGCTCGTGGAGAGAAAAAGGTCAAAAATATAATCAAAGAAATCTGGTCTTCTCTGTTGACGTTGGTTTCATCATCCGTTAATTTTTTAAAAGTGTTCTCACGATACAGTTTGTGTACATACACCAAGGAGGCCGATTGTATCGTTGGCAGAAAACAGTACAAACTGGAGTTCTGAGTGGGTACTGCCAATGAAGGGAAAACTGCTTCAGGGTGGGTGCAGGGACCCTCTATCCACAGTGAGACGTGGGAATGGCATTCCTCCAGGCTGCAGGTGGCCTGGGACAGCGGGCCACAGGTGTGCGTCTCAGAGAGAGGCAGGGCACGGTGTCTGGCGCCAGGTAAGTGCTCACTGAACTTGGCATTGAATTACAGAGCAAACGGGTGGCTTTGCAATTCACAAGCCTCTTCAGGAACTAATATGACATAATGGTTTTATTAATGGAATCCAGACAAGTGTCTGTGCCTTGGAACCCTGTTTGGGAGGGTTTATAATTAAACAAGAAAACAGCATTTTGTGGCAAGCAGCTGTCGTGCTGAGAAACGCTCCCTCGGATTTGGACGAAGAGAAGAGTATGCATTCCGTTGCTATGACTCGTTAGCTCTATGACCCTTGACCTTCCTTGGCCTCAGTTTTCAAATCTGTACAATGAACACAAGTTGTGTTGGGAGCGTTAAACCAGATAATACCTGTGAAAATGCAGTGAAAACATACAGCATTGATTCCGACTGTGTCATTTCTTTAGTGTAATCAGGGAGGGGTTGGAACCAGTAGAATGATAGAGGCATTATTGATTCCTTTATTTTTATATTTTGAAGTGTTTACTGTTTATGCAGCTGGAGACACTCTCGCTGGATGAAGCTTTTATAAATCGTATACATTTGAGTGATTTTGTTGTAACGAGAGAGGAAACATTCCAAGACCGTCCCCATTCAGATGAGCGGTGGACGAGTGCTCACCGTTAGGTGAGCTCCTGAACAGTTTTCGTGATTAAGCCATCAAGTGCGTATTGTTTTTTTTTCTTCAAACATATAAAAGCTTAATGACATTCAACTCCTGTAACTCAGAAGCCTCAGTATCGCCACATCTTCGTTCTCCAGCTTACTCCTCACCGGTTCATGGAAGCCTCAGGCTGTGTCTTGGTACAGGGTTCGCTCAGCGATGTCCGTGTTACTATTTGGGGGGTGGGGGGAGGGGCGGAGAGGTGGAAGGGGAGCAGCTGTCTACAATTACTTGGCTAACCCACCAACGGACCTAAAAATGTACCCCAAGACGGTGGAGAGTCAGGCAGTCTGCACGCCGTTACCCCGACCGGGCTCGTGGCTTAGATGGCGCGTGTTAACTGTCCTCACTTGGCCTCTCCCTTTGCGCCAGAGAGAACGTTCCAAGCACTAATTGCTATGGCTAGTCCACAGTCCAAACCTCCGAGCTGAAACTCAGGCTTTTCATCTGCGCGCAGTCCCTCCCCTCGACGGCTGGCCTGCGAGTGACGTGTCTATGCCCTGGTCTACCAAGGACCGGTCTCCGGTCTGGCCCATTGCCCTCTGGGTGTCTAAGCAATTCCTGACACTTCAGGCTTTCTCACCCTGATTGTTTGTCCAGCATCCACCGGAGTCTGCATCTCAGCCACTAGAGGTCCCACCCTTGTAGTTGCCCTGATAAAAATCAAGCCAGCCAGCCAGCCAGCCAGCCAGCCAGCCAAGGTCCCTGCCGTTTCTCTCTCCTCCCATTCTCTCACTCCCAGACCGTCCATCAGGAGAGTTTGTGGGTTCTGTCTCTGAAATACAAGCAGAATCTGACTCCCTCTCCCACATTCCCTGTTAGCGCCCTGGACCAAGGGCCGTCACCCACCTCTGTCGTAGTGCAACGACCCCCCGACCTGTCTCCCCGGCTGCTCTCACCTCGCGTGTCTTCCCCTGCAGTTCCGAGTAAGAGATTTCCAGGGGGCCCCGAGGTCCTGTGCTAACTGGGGTCCTTTGCTACTGCTGTTCCTTGGGCTTGGAATGGTGACCCCCTCCCACTGTCTCCTCCTCCTGGCTCCCTCCCTCACCTCCTTCGGACTCTCCTCGCGTGCCACCTTCTCAGTGACGCCCCCCAGACACTCTATTTTTACTCCCCCCCTTCCCCTTCTATCCCTTTCTTTTTTCTCTCTCTAGACTTACCACCCCCCGCATATCTGTATGCTTTATCGGTTGATTGCCTGTATCCCCCAAATAGCCTGTGAGGCTCCGAGAAGGCTGGGAATTCTCTATTTTTTATTTAGATTAGAGCTGAACCCTCAAGCACGGAGCGGGCGCAGGGTGAAGGAATGCACGAAGCCCTCTCCACGGACTAGTTTCAAAGCGTATTCTCTGATATGAGACTGTGTTAAAGTCTCAATTTGGCAACCGGTCATGTGACTTTCGATGAGTTGTTTAACATTTGTGTAAGCCTCTGTGTTCGGTAAAAGTAGGGAGACTCAGAATGCCCACCTCACAGGTAACATTTGTGGAAGGGCTTACCACCGCATTGGATACGGTGGAAACCCAGTTCATGTTGGTCGCTGCTCTCTTCACCGCCCACGCGCCACGAGAGGGGGAGGGCGCATGGGCGGTGACTGTTTCCACTGCTCCTCCTGCGCTAGCTCCCATCCTTCTCATCCTCCAAGAACGTGCTGGGAAAGCAAACTTACTATACACGACATAATTACAGGACGAGCGCAGATACGGCTTGGCATGGATGCTAGTTGCAGGGTATTTGCCGTGGGAAGGTCTCTCGTGATCCCTGTAGACACACGGCGAAGGCAGCAAGACCAGGAAACAATCATCTCCATTGGCTTTGCTCTGCGTGAGCTCATCCCACTAGGAGGTTATTTCT